TGGAATTGTGATTCACTACCAAAGCAAATTGTGGCAGCCTTTATATGCTGATTCATCACCTATAATATAGTTAAATACATTTTGTATACTAATCATATTACTCCAGATGTCACGTCCATCATGGTGGACAGACTGATAGGTTATGGTTTTTAATCTGAGTCTTTGACTCAGTCACTCAAGAGTGCATGGATTTAAAGCTATATGCCAAAATCTAGGCATGAGACACAAATCAAACCCATCCCATCATCTAGTCAAGCCAATCAAACCATATTTTTTAAATGTCAATGTTACAGATACCCCATAATTAAAAACAGCATCCAAAATGTCTGCTTTGAGAATATAGGAAGGGCTATGCATGACTGACATTCAATTTTATCAAATTATTGTCATGCTTCCAGTCAGCAAGAGAATGCTGACTTTGAAGATTAATCAATTTAAACATTAACAACTTATCATCTATGAAAAAGACATCAGTGTAACATAGTGTCTTTCACTTGAGTCACACCTTTTCACTTGACTTCAACACTCATGCATGAGGAACATTCCATGCACGTGTCTGAGTCAAGTGAAAAATTGTCTAACTCAAGTGAAAAACACTGTATTTAACATCTATTCAACAGTCTGTTCTTTGAATGTGCCAATCGTAAAATAAAACTAAAACTATTTTGATGCCATTGAAGGTGGCCTTGGATATTGCCTAAACGAGACAGTGCGCAAAACGCGAGTCACCCCGTTTAGAGTTACGGTTTAAAGTCCCTTTAAGTACTCTACGGAGGGTGTTGAAAAGTCTTTAAAACCTAGAACACTATTCTGGGTATATTTAATCAACAACGGTTCTCCGACATACAGTGACCAGCATAAGAGCTGGCAACACTAATTCTAGAGTAGCTCTAAACTTACTGGTTGATAGTAAATACCATGGAACTAACACAAGCTCATGAAGATAAGCTGCAGTAATGCTGTCAACGGTAGGACCCCAAATCAATGGTGGGATTGCCTTGAAGATTCTAGGCCTGGGGCTACATGGGCCTTGGTATCTATGGTAGAATAGGCCTTAGCCTGGAATACATAAAGTATTATTTTAGTCCTTCGGAAATTGCTCAACAATAGGACTACTCGGCATTTAACACGTGAAGGATGACAACGATCAAAAAGCACGTGTGACCACGGACAATGCTCACATCATAAGCCTATGTGCATGCGCCAAACTAAATCTGATATGGCGCGCCCGTTGAAGCCATGTGCCTTGTCCCCAACACACTAGTCCGTCAGAGTGAACTGCTTGTTTCGATTATATTAATCCCAGTTTACTCAAATCTCCTCAAACCGTCGCAGTCTTTTGTCAATGAGCTGCAAGAGTGTGGAAACGCTGAACTTCGATTGCTTCAAAATATTCTTTGCATCAAATTGCAGAGAAAATTCATCATTCAAAATACGAAAGATATCAAGGCATGTTATTTCCAGGTGACATTAATATAAAACATAGTTTCTAGTTGTGTATAAGTTTTCGTATGAAATTTTTAGCTGAAATGATAATTTGCTAAAAATGGAATGCATCTGATGACTTAAAATGAACAGTGACATGACTGCAATCCTTGCATTTAATATATTGCTTTCTGGCTCTCTCAGTATTCCACAAGATCAGATCATTCAGTATACCCCATGTGGACACCCATCTTGGAACATGTAAAAACATTTGTCAGTTTTACCAAGGGCCTGCCCCAGTTACAGTAGCATCCAGTGCTAAGAGGCAGCTACACGAACACTGTTATCTACACCAAGAGGAGACCTCTCACACGTACTCAAAACGAGTCCGAAAGAGACGAGGGACTCACTTCGAAATCGTGTCAGACGTGGAAGTCCCTCCCCCGGGACGAAGTGAAATCTTCATTTTGGTGCTGTCGGTGAAATTATGCCTGGTGCAGGATCAGATGTGGCATATGCCTAAGACTTTGTAGTACTTTGAGACACCGCTTCCACTGGTCACTTTCTGCCTTAGCTCCATGAGAGAGCATAAGCCATAGGATACTGCAGTACATTCTATCTTGGAACCTTTCCAGTGTCATTAGAAAACCAAAGACCCCTGAACCAGCAGCCTAACATCCAAAGTTGGTACTGCTAAGTACTGATTTTTAATGTGGTCTAGCAGATGCACATGTCAAAGTAATGTCATGCTATAGGGGTCCATTTTGACCACTTGTCTTTGAACAAGCCAAGACATGCTTTCATTTTTCTATATTGTTTAACACTGTCAGGAGGGTGCGAAGTGGTCTAGATGACTATGCATCCTAACATTCACTAACACTTCCTAATCAAATGACTCACCATATGTTGTCAATACAAATGAGGAATGCATGCAGATCCTTTTATGTTTCCTGTATGCTTCTTTGTGCCATACAGATGACAGATATTTTCCCTGGTGTTGAATATCATGGTATTTACAAAAGCACATTGGTATCTATACAAAGAGCCTCACAAAATAGGACTTTATTGTTCTGGCAACCTTGATGCTGGAAGGAGTAGTTCCTATACTCATATGCACATGAGGAGGGCAAGAACATAGTCGCTGCGTGTTAAAAGTCATCTGGCTGCTTTATATGTAAACCAGATGACATTAGGCCTATTCATTTTATAAGGAATTCTCAACCTTGACTCACCAATAAGATATTATTACAATTTGGACAACCAGATATTGTTGGCATTCCTGTGCTTCCATGGACCTATGAAGCCTCAGAAACAATAATTTATGACTAAATAAAGAATTCTGAAAATCAGAATGGCAAAATTCATTCATGAAAAGGCTTATTATAAACTATCACTTCATAAGTTGGCTATTTCAAGAACAGTCATTTGGACTCTTCATGTTTTGTCTGTTTCATTCATATGTGACATCTATGTCTATCTCTGCTTGCACAGAACAATTTTTAAAATATATTTTGTGTAAACCCGTTTTGAACTTGTTCTCTATATATCCATTGTGTGAGAAGAGAAACTCATACTGGCATGTGGTAGCAAAAGGAATCATGGTCTTCATTGCAGCAGCACATAGGTCTTTGTATTCTTCCTTTATAGGTAGCCAGAAGTAAAGATACGTCATACTCTGAATGTGATTCGTCAAAAGTTTTCTACATAATTCCATGACTTGCACTCCTCTCTTGCATCTTTAAAGTGGCATTGTTATATCCATGCCTTCTTGCCCTCTTTAGGTGATAGGCCAAAGGATAAGCTCATAGCATCCATAGCACCCCTAGATGCCATGGAATGCAGATTAAGAATTATTGCACTAAATAGTGACTGCTTCTCTGCAAAGTTGAGTTGTCTGCCATATCCCATGGACTCTGTCAATGATTGAAATATACATTTTGCAGAAGTGCTCATATGGAGTATTTTGTCCTCTTTCCCCATGCAAGCTGCATTGTTTTGGCAAGTGCATACGCTGTTTCCATATTGAATTCATACCACCCCCTTATAGTGGAGAATGGAGAAAACACAAATATCCATATGTTCTGCCTCATCAGGTGATAAACATAGCCACCCGTGTGTAAGATGTCACTACCTGCAATTAATGGAAGTGCTCCTATAGGGAGCGAATTCAATCTGGAAACTGTATTGCTTTGGGGGGAGGTGACCCACATTTGCATCAGACTGTACCCCATGCTTTGCAGTTTTCAATTATTTTCTTTGAGTATTTAGCCACAGAGGGAGAGAAATTCATGACAGATTTTTTTCAAACCTAACTGATCCACAATTCCCCCCAAAAAGTTAGGTCTAATTCTCATTCTTTCAGCCAATTGGTGACAATGACATCTTATGTGGTTTGTGAGGTTAGGATAAATGCATTTCTATGAAGAATAATACTCCAACTTTAACCCCCTTAACCATGTAGTTTTGTTCCACCAATACTTCTCTGACTGAATTTTTTTTTGGAAGACTCTGGCTGTGTTTGGCATAATATTACAGTCCCCACTGACCAAAATAGAAGGGCATGTATGGGAACATAATATTACACCCTGCATGGCTAAGGGGTTAAGGGTTGTGGCTGTCAGCAGAGTCAGAGGGATCTGGAGATCATGGTCTCAGTTGGGAGAGCAGAAGCCACTGCCATCATGTATAACATGCGATTGTCCCTGTCTAACAGTGGTCTTAGGCTATGCATATGTTCCCACATATGCTGATGGGAGCAATCCATTATTTAATTTCCCATCTGCAGAAGGTGATGCTGAAAAGTCANGTCATATTGTCCAGACTTGTGATTTGTGGGGTGATAGCATCATAGTATAAATCACCACCTCACATTCCATTTACTGTTTACCAATCATGTGGTATTTGTCTCTCAAGAATAATGTTAGGCTTATGTATGGATATCTCCTCATAAGCTGGACAGCAGATTTATGCCTGCTGGTACTGGCATTCTTAAATGGACTTCACCATGAACCATTTGAATCCTTGGAAAATCAGTGGATCCAGTGCTAGAGTTTTATTGGCATTTACTGGTATCACAAGAAGATATGTATTTTCCTGGGCATCATTGTCTGAAGCATATAGAAGATTGTGGCAACCCCCTTCACCACCATACAAGCATGTTTGCCAAGTTGGAGATCCCATCCTACGCCAGAAGGCAGAAGGAGTGCCAAAAAATGATATCTGCACAGAAGGTATCCAAAAGGTAAATAATTCTTCACAAACATGTCATATTTATTATGCTTGATCATGCCATTAGATTTCATCACCAAGTCAGTTATGAAATAAACTGAAATATTAGATTATCCATGCTCTTCTATTGCAGGTGATAGGAATCATGAAGAATGTGATGCACTCATATGGTGCCTTTGGTCTTGCAGCTCCTCAAATAGGAATACCCCTTCAAATCATCATGGTTGAAGTCCCAGCATATATTCAAAAATATTTTTCCTCTGAAGTATGGAAGTCAAGAGAGATGGAGTTGGTTCCTTTTACTGTGAGTCATATATGAAGTAAGAAGTTCATCAAAATTTTTAAGGCACTACAAAAATCTTTTCTCTGAATGTCTTTTGGCAGCTAATATTTTTAGGCATAGACCCATAGTAGAATAAAAGCAGAAATAAATGGTTGCTCACTCCTCTGTAGGTCATCATAAACCCTGAAACAAGGATCTTGAATAATGCAGAGGTGAAGTTCCCAGAAGGCTGTGAGTCCCTCAAGGGGTACAGTGCTGTTGTTCCTCGTTACAAAGAGGTTTCCATTTCAGGTAGCAATCTTTGTTGGTGCATTCAGTTGCAACCTATGTTATGACCCGAGTTAAGATCAGGACAAGGAAGCAGTGCCTTGTAAAATTATTTAAGCCAGAACTTAGATTGCAGCTGAATGCACACCTTGTCTGCTGGTTAATTTAACTTTTAGCAAGTTGATAATTGCCCATTGAAAATCACAGGTTACAATGAGAGAGGTGAAGAGGTAAAATGGCATACAAAGGGTTGGACTGCTCGCATTGTTCAACACGAGATGGATCACTTGGAAGGTCAGCTCTTCATTGACATTATGGACAGCCTCACATTTGAGTATGACAAGTGGCTTCGTGTGAATGTGAGGGGTGGCAAATATCATCAGAAATTCTATGGAAAAGTATGATTGTATTGTGAAGAAAATAGACTGATTTATTGCAATAAAAACTATGAGTTGTCGTGAAATATGCATTGAAGAACTGTCTCAAAAGTAGCCAAAGCATAGGAAATTAACCCCATCCCATCATCAAGATAATCCATGAGTAGAGCAAGTAGGGAATATAGTTGAGATAACTGACTGCAGATGGCAGCATCTGTCAGGATGGGTAACAACTCATCCGCCCCTCTGCAAATAAGACAATATACCAGGATTTAAAGTTCCTGCCCTGATATTTTGACAGCTCATCTGTTTATATATTATAGATTCATGGTGATATGCTATATAGTTATCAAAGGATGATCTTACATGTATATCCAAAAGGCAGTTGAGCACTACTGCTTAAAAAATATTTTACTTTTGCATGAATTTTTATCATTTTTAGTTAGTTATACTACACAAAAATTAATATATCTATCATCCATGAAAATTTTTTGGAAAACTGCAGCATGCATTGTTCCTTTCACAAGCACAAATATTTATGTGATGATTAACACAATTAGAGTGGCAGGGCTCTGATCAGGGATGGCAAGGCAATGCCTACCCTCTGCAAGATCAGAGTTTACTTAATGAGTTATCTAAATGTCAGCTTGTGAATGTGTCAATATCATAAACCTCATCTTTTGTAAAAGCAATCCAATTTTTACTTTACACTTTATTTGAATTTATGACTGGTCAAAGTGATTGCTCATTTTACTTTGAGATGCCTTCAGGGTGGCCAAAAAAAACCCCCAAGCTATTGACTTCAACATGCTGTAAATCAGGCTGTAGCATCTTGGTTTGAGTTAGCTTTTGCAGCAGAAAGTATTTGTTATATCATGAGTTTTTTGTTTCATCTGGGTGAAACTGACCACCTCCATTCTGAAAACTGCTACAACTGTCCCCAGCTGCCATTTGAGTTGGAGCAGCGATATTTGTTAATAAGAACATATTTTATTTTCTGTATCAATGTTTTAATGTGTTTCTTCCTTTCCCCCTTATTTTTCCTCACTAAAACAAAGCAATGCCTAGCTACTTACATGAATGACTTTTCTCATTCATCAAACTGGTCAAGAAGTGGTTTTTAAGGCATCATTCAAAAAGTTGATGAGACAGGATCAGCAACTCAAAAACAAGATAGTGGAAGGCCCAGAACCCACATAAATTAAGAGAATGCTGAAAAAGTCAAAATGCCCATGTTGAATCAAGATCAACTTGGAAGTTTGTTTTACTAGAAAATTCATTCATCATTCTTCTGGCTTCCCATCCTTTTTAAATTTGCAAGGTATTGACCACCACCAAGTCTTCATGTGAGTAGCTAGGCATTGGTTTGTTTTAGTAAGAAAAAATGTGAGAAAAGGAAGGAACACATCTTAAAACATTGATATAGAAAATAAAATGTGTTCTTATTAGGGCTGTACTGATGTATCAGCTAGCACTGGTAATGGGTGCCAATGTTGCACTATCAGCGTCATTGGCCATTGACCTATGGTGCTGGTACCCAAGGAATGAGCAAAGCAAAAAAAAAAATTTGGTGAGGGTGCGAATGCAGCTAGGCACCAGCCACTCCTGCCAGCTTCTCCCAGACAAAAATATTGATCGCATTATATTCCAGCTGGATTACATGAACTGGCAGAGGAAGGTAGTGGTAAAGAATGCAAAATCATTGCATCTCCATTTACATCATGAGGAAGGCCCAGAACCCACATAAATTAAGAGAATGCTGAAAAAGTCAAAATGCCCATGTTGAATCAAGATCAACTTGGAAGTTTGTTTTACTAGAAAATTCATTCATCATTCTTCTGGCTTCCCATCCCTTTTAAATTTGCAAGGTATTGACCACCACCAAGTCTTCATGTGAGTAGCTAGGCATTGCTTTGTTTTAGTAAGAAAAAATGTGGGAAAAGGAAGGAACACATCTTAAAACATTGATATAGAAAATAAAATGTGTTCTTATTAGGGCTGTACTGATGTATCAGCTAGCACTGGTAATGGACGCCGATGTTGCACTATCGGCGTCATTGGCCATTGACCTATGGTGCTGGTACCCAAGGAATGAGCAAAGCAAAAAAAAAAATTAGGTGAGGGTGCGAATGCAGCTAGGCACCAGCCATCCTGTCTCACTGAAAGCCACTCCTGCCAGCTTCTCCCAGACAAAAATATTGATCGCATTATATTCCAGCTGGATTACATGAACTGGCAGAGGAAGGTAGTGGTAAAGAATGCAAAATCATTGCATCTCCATTTACATCATGCTTTTGGAAGGGATGTGGATGTCACTAAATGCTCCCAACAGCAGCAATACATTATGAGTTAACCACAGACAGGCTGGACAGAACCAAAAATGGTGTCTATTGTTTCAAGGAGGCCTACTGATAACTATCACATGGCTTCCAATCAGACCTACAGTGAAAACTCATTAACTCGAACTTTAAGGGACCGGGCAAATTGTTTTGAGTTATCCGAAGTTCGAGTTAGCAGGAATCACCCCCCCCCCAAAAAAAAAAAAACTCATGTTAAGGGACATAGGGGGCAGAATGGCTCAGAGTGAGAGCGATAGATTGACTGAGTGAATGTTGGAGGCTTTTTTAAAGCCGGAGCTTTTCAGTTTTAATCCTCAGTTTTAAAACACAGGCATCTGTGTGGGAGGAGGGAGAAGCAGAAAAAAAACAAAACAAAAGAGCATCCTCCCAAATGGGTTTCTTGTCATTCATTCTATTCAAAAATTGAAAAGTCCCATGCGAAGAATTTTTCCCCCTTCTCACCCTGAATTCGAGTCAACCGTGAGAAAATCATTATAGGGAGTGAAGATTTCATTCGAGATAAGCAAATTTGAGTTATACTGAGCTTTTAACATGGTGTCCTATGGGGTTCCGCCAGGACCAAGCGTTGAACTTTGAGATAAGCAGAATTTTGACTTATCAGGATTTGAGTTAACGAGTTTTCACTGTATTAGAATTTATAGGCAATTTCATCTTCAGGCCACAATTGGTACCAGCTAATGGTAACAAGGAAAAAATCAGCCCACTGGCCAAATGTCCATTGATACAGCCCAGTTCATATTAACAACAGCTATCCCTGCTCCAACTCAAACAGCAGCCTGGGACCATTGCAGCAGTTTCATGAATGGTGGCAGCCATTTGCATTTTGATGAAAATTTTTTTTTTTATATTATGACATGTACAGCCAACACTCTACATAACAAATTTTTTGAGCCTGTCCCTTTGAGTTTGTTTTATTGAGTGTCGACTGTACTTTTATATATGCTGCAAAAGAGTTGCTTCATGTGTGCCTAAGAGCTAACTCAAATCAATGCACTGCAGCCTGATTTACAGCAAGTTGAAGTTAATAGCTTGGTTTTTTTTAGCCACCCTATATAAGATTTTGTTGTTGAAATTATATTCTGATGTCAAAATCATTTTAAAATGTCAAAAACTGGCAAATTTTTGGTATTTATAAACGACTTTTCACTCCATACAAATTTGTGATATTGTAAACATTCAAGTACTTTGGTTCTGTCCCATTTATCAGGTACATATATGGCTTCATGGTACCTAATCCCAAGGTCAAGGCAATGTCTATAAGGCTATTTTGACTGCCAGTCAGTTCCCTTTGCCTTCCAACTAATCTTAACTGAGATTATAATGGGATCATCTGAAAATAACTAAACTTGACTTCTGTAAATGACGTTATGGTGACTTCGTAAGACACAACAGTCAGTAACGTTCTGTATGGCTTCCAGAAAACAAGGTCGTCTCGTACGAAGAACTTGTGTACTATACTCTGCTTCTTTCTGTGCTCTCAGGGAGGTGGCACACACCATTGCCTTCAGGTGCTGACTCAGGGAATTCACTGTATCATCAGGTGCCTTTCCTTTTGCCAGCTGTCTCATTTTCAATGCCAGTCTCTCTTCCTCACTCCTGTTAGCCCTCCTGAGAGATTCATAAAATAATTATTCTTGGACATGACTTACAGAAAGTATCCCTACTCTATTTTGTATTTGCTTGCCACTGACCTGTAGAGTTGTAGCAAGGGCTGATTGATAGAGGACAGGAAGTGTTCCATGAGATTTTCATGTACACTAAAGTCCTCTGAGGGAACCTTGTAATATGCTTGCAAAACACAGGAAGCAACTGACACATGGCACAGGATATCTGGAGAGAGAATTGTAATTTACATAAGTGGACATAAAGCATGTACGATTTACATACCTGGATGCTGTATCTAATTAATGTCATATTCTCAAGTTAAAGAAGTGGAAATCTAACCAGTATTGATGAACTCTAAATGCCTTCTCAGTGCCCTTTTCTGTAACACAGCAGTATTTCCAGATTCATCCTTGTTATCCTCAGTAGCCAAGGAGTGACACAGTTCCTTTCTCAGTACATCAATTTGGTTCTCCCCAGTGACAATTGCTTCTTCGATATCTTTCATGAGGTTTTCTGATGCCTCTGTAAGGGACTTACATTCACTGCTTGATTCCACACTGTCATCTCCCAGACTAAGGAACTCTAGGGGAACCAAGGGATGAATTTCATGTAATATCTTTGTTGTCTGATTATATCCTACCACTAATGTCATCTCAGAGTCTTATCTTACCTTTAATAGACTCTGTTGTTTCCTGGTTTGTCTCTGATCTGACTTCAGGCTTTTGTAGCAGGTCATAGATCAGTTCATCTATTGTATGTTGCTTCTCATCCAGGTAGACTTTGACAGGGTGACAGGGATCTCTGAAAACACTCTTCCAATCCCCTACATTGCTTGACTCACATCCACGCTCATACCGAGCAATAGCCACATACAATACATTCTTTTCTTCTTTCTCAGGCTCTTCCTGGAACTCCCTTGAGTAATATGAAAATAAAATAATTTTTAGTTTCTTTTCTATTCAGTTGGATTCTAAACTTGCTTGAAAAGATTTCTCTCGTCACCTTTCTGCTTTGTGGAATGCTTGCTGCACTAAATCTGCTTCTTGTTTCTCCCATCTTGCTTGCTTTTGCTTAGCAAGGGATAGGTTTTCAGTCAATTTCCTCTGTAGCTCAAGTGATAGCTCTCTCTGAGCCTAATAATTTGAATAAAGCAAGGGATTGTTTCCAGGTTTTAGAATGACTGTAATCTTGAAATATGTATGAGATACAAGTAATTAACAACCTGAGGTGGGAGCTTCTTCATGCGATTGGTATAAAGTGCAACAAGTTGGCGATTTTCACTCTTCATCTGCTCTAGAGGGCTGTTTTGTCGACATACTGCTGGCAGACTTTTTTTGAGCTTCCTAGCAGTCATGAGGATACTTTGTTTAGAGGTAGCCACCTGTGATTTAGGTGCACTTTTGTCATCTGTAAACGCAAGCAAAACTCATGGCAGTACGGAGTATGCTGCTTTCATTTCTATTTGTGAGGTATTATATTGGTCTAAATATAAGATGGGATTTTTCCCTTATCACAGGACCTGTAAAATCCATACTCATTTGATGTCCATGCTCTAAGCAAATTTTCCCACTGTCTGTTAAAATAACAGTAGATGCATGACCTATCATACACCTGTATCATGAACAAACTCACCTATGTGGTCCACTTGATTAACCCTTTGATGAGTATGCTCGTATATATACAGGTTCGTATTTTCACACTGTGTTGTAAGCATAAATGCATGCGGGAGGTCAAGGCACTGGCCAGACATGTGCTACCATCTAGCCACGTCTTCCAGGAACTTTTTCTGCTAATTTAATCCCAAAAATATGCAAAAGAACCAAAAGATGTCAGCAGAAGAAGACTGATTAACGGTACCAATGCATCACCTGTGATGTCGGACTCCATATCCATTCATGCTTCACAGAGTACCACACCTTAAAGCATTTCTGAAGAATAGAAGCAAGATAAATGTTCAAAATCACCTCAGAGATCCTAATATTCATATGCCCAAATGCTTATAAAAAATGTATGTAAGTACGATGTTAATTTATGCAAATGAAATAAATCTTGTAATTTTCTCTGTCACAATTGCAGAATATACAGGGTGACCAGAAACTTCCCAGACATATTTTCAAAGGGCAGTTACTTTTGGGGGGAATGTTACTTTTTCTGCTGAGAGCATTTTTTAAAAATCATTTTACTTTTATCTGTCGCATGTAAAAGTCAGTTTTTTAATTTCACATCCAAATATTTTTAAATTCAAGGTCATAGATTTAAGTTGCTCTGTAGTTGTGTATGTTGTGTGCAGTCATTGATCAGTTCCCAAAATGATTGATGCAGTGCATCAAAGCAAAGAGCAGATATCTTGAAAATGTTTGATTATATTAGTTTAAAATTGTCTATTCTATCATATATTCTGGGGAAAAATTTTTGTTATTGTTACTATGAATAAAATATTCAATTTTTTAAGTGCCTGGGAACTTTCTGGTCACCCTGTAAAAAAAACTCACTCCTGTAGGTCCAGTGAGGATGTAAAAACCCACCACTCAAAGGGTTAACTACATACCTTATTGATTTGTTCATTCAAGGTCTGTGCCATAAATAGTTAAAAGCAACTTTGAAATGAACATTTTTAGCAAGTCATCTCATAGTGAGACCAATATACAGGGTGTATCATAAGTTGTGCACCATAGTGAATATCAAGATCAATCTATCAATCTTTGGAATTCACAAAATGTGTTTAATGTATAAATGCAAAATTGTCTCAATATATTCATCTTTACTAAGAGCCAAAACTCAAATGCCTGGTCTATAAAAAATAAAGAAAAATGACACATTAGCCTTATGAGACAAACTGTAGTAAAATCACAGTACTTATTTGATTAACTCCAGGAAACTTATTTATCATATTAAATACAAATGTTCTCAACATCAAACCATTACAGATTAGAAGGTAGCCTTTAGTAATTACTTGGTAACATTGAAAATCATGAGCAATGATGAGAATCACAATCCAGATATCTGTAGTTAGACCTACTGTAATTGATCTGAAAGTTATTCATAGTTGTAGTTGTATCCCTGATGGATTCTCAAGCCTTTTTCAGTGTGTATGCGTAAATTATTCTTGTACTGGATTCTTCACAGATCTATACCATTTGGCATACCATGAACTTTTAGAGATAGCTGAGCAACTCGATCAGTGCTTTGTTGGAGAAAAGTGATCAGACGGGTTCTCTCTGCCGTAGAAAGACTGGCTTGTCGTGATGTCTCTTGCAAAAGGATGTTGCTCACCAGGGAAATCCCCATGAGGTATGTGCTGTATGCTTCCTGGAAATAATGAAAAGAAATACTTTATTTCTCATGAAAAAAATGCCATCAACATGTGACTCATTTTCAAGGACTTTTATAGTATCATTATCCTAATCAATCTCAAAGCAAACAGACTCATTAATGCTTCTGCTTCAAATTCACCAGATGCTCTTGGTTATCCAATTTTTTGGTAACTAGTGTACTGATTGCTATGCTCTTGCCATATCTTGTCCAGTAACTTCATGCTTTAAAGATTTTTTCAAGGTGTCTCATCCCAATAAGCCACTTCTTGCCTTACAATGGGTTTATGTTTGATTTAGACTCTTACTAGTTGAAGTCCAGCTTGCATTTAGTTCAAGTTTGCCTTTTTCAGATTTAAAATTGGTTCAGATCCTGTGATTGACATTAGTCAGGCTCATGTTTATCTGAAAGAAAGTTCCATGTATTTTGGTTCGTACTGGTTTTGGTTTGTTACAGACCTCTCATGTGTTCCTTAAAATTTAAATACCTAACAATTATGAACTATCTGATGAAATGAATCTAGTCATATTGGCTCAGTGACCAGATAGACCTTCTTGAGTTGCAAGTCAGATGGTTGTTTCAACATGACTTCTTCACGTACCAATGTCTTTTCCAATGCCACAGTTGTTTTTGATGAGTTGATAACCCATGAGGTTAGATGGCATAAATTCCTCAAAATCCAATTATTTGTCCTTCTCAGATTCCTGGACAGCTTAATCCCTTGAGGTTAGAAAGAACCCAATGCACATGAGCCTCCATGCAAAAGTAAGAAAAGTAAGAACCATATTTACCATTCATATTGAATCATCATTGGTTGGTTTGCATGGTATTACCAATGCTTCAAAAGAAAAAGGTGTATGTTTGAATGCAACCAGGTGCCATGGCACTAGACTTCCCCTGTATTCAAACTCATGCTCTCTTTGAAGGCAATGTTAGCAGCTTTTCCAGGAAAACTTATACTCCTCTTACACGTGATTTAGTCTTTTTGGGTGTGCTGCTTTTTCCACAATCAGCTTTGGTGCATCCCAATGGATCTGGCTGGTCAAATTGGTCAAATCCTGAAATTTGTATACCCCTACTCTTTGCATCTCTACCCACTCCAGAACCATCTGTACATGAGGGCTAAGGATAGCAATTACCACAATAATAATCATAGTTATCACACTTTACTCTTCCTTATACAATGAGCATCTTCAATGAGATCTTCAATCTTCAATTGTTGAATTTGTTCTTTGGGCACCTTTGAAGAAGTCTTCAATATCTGCATTATTATTTCTGCTTCCAGGTAGGCTTTATTTTATACCCCAAATGTCAACTCACACAGACAAGGACAAACCCAGAAGTAGCTCTATGCAAGATAGAGGAAATTGGTTGCTTATTTGACATCCCTGAGAACTATGGCATCAAAAATGCTACACAAAAATATCCAGCTCATTTAAGAAACACTAGCATCTCAACTCACAATTGTCTCATTCATTTCTTTCTCTTCTATTAAAAAATTATATAGGGTGGGCTAGAAAAATAAAACAACAAAACAAACATGGCTCTTTAATAATATATTATAGAGAAGAGAATGGTAGAATATACTAAAAAACTATGTATTTGAGTACTCCAACTCTTTGGCAACATCAGCCACAAAAAGTGTTCCATATGAGAAACTGAGCTACTGAGTAGCCTAGTCCAAAGTCATTGGAAAAGAGAATTTGAATCTTAGGTGATCTTTGGCTGCATATTCAGCAATTAACCTTTTCCACTCTGATTTTTTTTCATGTGTTTTCTCTGGTAGCTCGTATTTTTTACCACATAGGCTTCAGGCTGCTGAAATGGATTTTCTTGGAGTCGTTGTCAGTTGTAGGAGCCTAGAGGAAGAGTAAAGGCCACCGGGCGAGGAATTGGTGAGGGGAGTGTTGGGTGGTGAGGTATGTCGGGTGGTGGAGAGGTAAGTTCGTGTGACGGAGAGATGAGTATCGGGTGGTGGCTGTTCTTCCGGCATTTCTAAATCGAACGCCTTCTGGCGATGCAACCTAAGTTGTTAATAAATGTGATGGATGGATGGAATGAGTAACCTTTCGGGTCAACTCGAGATATTATACAAAATTACTAATGAACATAATTTACTTTCAAGTATAATATACTGCCAATCCAACTAATTAAAACGACAAGCCAATGACTAATTGTGCTAGCAGACGCTGCGTGGTGCGTGTGCTAAGAAAATATTTTATACCAATAGCCAAGTCATTATACTACATGGCAGATAAGTTTGGTGCGGCAAAGTGACCCACCCGAGTGAATGAAGAGGCTTTTAATCTGTGGTATACTATACTGCACCAAACGAGTGCAAGAGTCAAAGTACCAATGGGCGAGTATACTCGCCCATTCGAGTGGAAAAGGTTAAACCTGCAATATGAATGCAGTCCCCAACTCAGGAATTCCATTGTGTTACGGAATGAAGTTACTATGAGATGATGACATCATTTCCTCTACCTGACGAAAGCAAAGAAATATCGTCAGGTGCATTCTACTAATGGTGCAAATTCATTTTGAAGGCTGTGGTCCAATAATATTCTATCGTTTAGGATTCAGTACCATGCGTTATTCAAATTATTTTCTCTAGATTTCTACATGTTACAATAGGCTGAACATGGGAAATTAATTCACGATAAAGGTCTACTTTTCTCAAGATACAAGTTAGACAGTCGAACTCTTTTGTAGCTGAAAAAAAGGCCTAAGGCAGCCGTTTGAGAATTGGGACGACTCTTTTCATAAAGGACTACCTTTGGGGTTTAATATATTCTCAACCGTTTGGACTAGAAATTTGGAATGCCTCATATGTCAGAGAGTTCATCATGCATGCATTTTTGCAACGAAATCCCAGCCGCACAAGCAACCAAGATTACGTTATTTAAACCTAAATCCCTCATATGTGGCAGGAGGGACCAAACAGATTGTCCTATTGCGTACAGAACAATTTACTCCGTCGATCCGCTGCTCTGACCTAAGCCTCAGTTATCTTAGCCTGAAGCCCGATGCCGATAAGGCTAGACAGAGTGACTCGCGAAAGGACTCAAAAATGGAGTTCTCCGTGAGTGGTACGCGAAGTGTTAGGAAAGTCAGATGGGATGCACCCGTGGAAGGGGAGCGGTGAGGCTGCGAAGGTCTGCACTGACAAGTGAGCAACGTGACGTTGATGCTCAGAGGAGAGATGCACTAAATGTAGAGCAACATGAGGCTGTTAACGCTGTGCGGAGAGCAGTGCGTGTACGCGTTGAACCTTTAACCCACACTCTCGCTGCGTTGGCTGGGACGCCCAACGTCATTCCAGTCGTTCCGCACGATCCCTTTGGAAGTAGAGTACTCTGTAGAGCACTGCTTGGTTTTGCTTTACTCCGCTTCGAAGTGAAGACTTTGGCAAGATTGTTGTCACGATCATGTTACAATGTTCCATTCGATCCCATCGGAGTTTCGGCCAGAGTTGAAAACGTTGTTGATGGGGGAAAAATGCAAACGCTCGCAATTTTTGCGAGTTGATCAGGCAGCGTAACAGCGCAAACGCGTTTGCTTCCTTTTGGTGGAACGATTGTTGACACTTCCGGAAACGGTCCTTACTGCTTCAAAGCATCCGACGAGGTCTATCATTTCACTACGACCAGTCTACGGCCATTTGATAACGTCTTTCCTCATCTAAATCAAAAAAATAAATAGGGTGTACTCAGTTCTTCGTTTATGAAGTGGTTCAAATGCAGCAGCGCATGATAATTCGGAACGTGAAGCGCGTCGCTGTTTGTTATCGATGGAGCAAGTGGCATTGGCAAACAATTCCTGTACACCACACGGATTCACATACTGAACGTGTCATTCATCGCGCAAAAATCAGGCGATGATTCCAGCTACCGACGTCATCATTTGGAATGAAGCGCCAATGATGCCCGTTGAAGTGCAGGGAACGATGGAACGCGCGCTGCGAGACTCGATGGACGGTGACCGAGTCCGTGGATAATTAGTTGTGCTGAGTGGTGACATTCGCCGAATGTTGCCAGTTGTCCGCAAAGTATCTCACGGTTAAATCATTGAGACTTGCGTAAAAAAGAGTCCTTTATGGTCATCGTTCCGAACGATTCGTTTGACAGGAAGCATGCGCGCTGCTGCAAACGAAATTTGATTTATTCGATTTTTGTTCGATTTGGGCAGTGAAACATTTCCACGAATACAGGAGGCTATCCATCTGAGCTCTCCGTGCGTTTATCTACCTTACTAATGAGCGTAAGTGTCTGTGCATAGTCGCTTCTCCTCCTAGACGGTTTGATCCCTGACCCTGAAACTTTAAACTTAGGCTTCCTAGGGGTGGGGCATCAATAAGAAAATCTTTTATACCAATAGCCAAGTCATTATACTACATGGCAGATAAGTTTGGTGCAGCAAGGTGACCCACCTGAGTGAATGAAGAGGCTTTTAATCTGTGGTATACTATACTGCACCAAACGAGTGCAAGAGTCAAAGTACCAATGGGCGAGTATACTCGCCCATTTGAGTGGAAAAGGTTAATAAACTGGCTATCTTGTAAAGTGCTTTCTAAACTTTCTTGTCAAAAAGGTGCAAATTGAGACTACTCAATGGCCACAGTTCAGGTTATAACAAGTCTGGCACTAGCAGAAGCATGACAGACAAGTTGCCCAAGACCTAAAAAGCATGGGGTCATGTTGCTAGAAGACATATCAATTGCCAATGAAGATGTTTTGAATTCAGAGATTCAACAAATTTGATTAGTCTGATTTATATGCATGCAATAATGCATCTTGTGGAACATATCAGAAAAAAGGTTCCTGGAACAAAATCTTTCAGAATCACTGGAATCCACAAAGATCACCCAAAAGTTTGATGTTATTACTATTATTATAATATAATAGTTGCATTTGTTCACTGGTTACAGACCAATGGTGAAAGCCATTCTGTAGGTTTTTTCCACTAATTTAGACAAAGAATTGGGTTCTTCAAATCCATTGTCCATCAAGAAATTCTACCTCTCACCTCCTTTGAATCTGTGAAACTAATTGAAGTACCATGCTTGGGTTTTATGTATACCCTGTAGTTAGGAGACCATTCCCAATTGACATCCAGAGTGGAGAGGGAAAAATAGATTGTTGGAAGTCCTCAGAATGTCCCAAAGTCAACATTCATTATTGTAAACTTTCATATTATTCATGTTAGCTTGGAAAAAAAAATCAATCCTGACACTATTCAAATTCACTGCATTTGAGACCATGGCTAGTTAGCATGGTGAGTTAGCATAAATTTACCATTGGTAACCAATTACCATAGCCCTGTAGTCAAATGAAATAATTTTATGCTAATTTAATTCTAAAAGGGCAAGGAAAGCCATACTTGAGACGAGTTGATTTTCAATTTATTGAAAACTACCTTTCCTCAGCTTTATGTGTTTGGATAAGTTTCCACACACAGAACTTAGGCTGGTCAATAGAGATCTTTAACCCCATTACTGCCTTACTGTATTTAATTCAAGTATGGGAGTAAGTTCAAGTAAGTTCAACAGCTCCTCAGAGCTGAATTTGAATTTGTCCAGAGATCACTGGATGGCCTGTGGGCCTGACTGAGAACAGCCTTGGGTTCTAGTTTTGTACCTGATCCAGAAGACTGGGTTTCTGATGTGCATCCCTGTGCAATAAAATTAGTGCAAGGAGTCTGTATTCAGTTGGGTAGCCCCTGATTGCAACTGATTGCACTGTACAAATTTCACACCTGGGCAGCTGTTGAATGTTTCCACTGTGCCTTAAGGGAAAACAGAGTCTGTTCTCCACTGAATTATATCCTCCATTCCTCTCACCCTTATATTTAAGTTTGCTTATTTGATTGGTGTGAGCCAATGTGAAATACTAGCCTATATTTAGGCCGGAAAGATTGTATTTATTAGGAAGGAAAGCCACATGATTTCTGGGTGACCCTCGGCGTTGGTCTACGGTTCGCTGAATTCTCTTTTAGTGGACCTGGTTCAGATTTACTTCATTAGAGTCCCTTCATGGTTTTTATTGGGAGAGACGAAGCATGGCATGTAGTTTAGACGAAATGATCATGACAACCTGCGATTTAAAGTCCGACGTAAAAGCAGTTTCAGTCTGACCTTGTTGTTTCCACATTCGTCCTTTGCGATGGCATCGAACAAGGTTTTTATCGCCCTGGACTTTGAGTCTTGTCCCTCTTTCGAAGCCATGTTCATGTTCCCTTCCAAATGTATCATATGCCAATGGCTACATCATCTTGCGCTGTAACCCACGTGGTACCCTCGCAGCCGCCATCTTGCTGAATCTTCGATTGCGCGCGAAAGGAGATTGTATAGAAATGCTTCCAAAGCTGGTTAGCCCTATGCTTGGGTGTTCTCTATCCGCTTTTCTTCATGGAGTCATTCATTCACAGTTATAATTGCCTCGCTTATTGATGTGAAACCCGTGCAATTATTTGAATAGCGAGTGGCACTTCACTCAAGCGAATGCGCGCTTTAGTGTTTTGTTGATTGTACTTACTATGGACAGGCACCAGTGAGCCCATCTAGTTCGGTTACTAGTCGCAGGCTGCATGGGAAGTTTCCTTGAAGATTCAAGGTGCACCATGGACCTTCTGCTCATATTTTGACAACTCCTTTATATCTCAATGTGCATGCTTTCAGGATGTCAGTTATGATAAGAATGTTAAGTGTTTTCTCTTCAAGAAGCGGTTGTCATGCATTCGTTCTGGCCGTACCTTATGTTTTCTTCATATGGCGAACAATTATTACTGTCCCCACTTAGTATAATATTGTTGGTATAACAAAATAAACCTATTTCCCGTAACCTTAAGACCAGGAGTAATACCTTCGCCATTTAAGCGAACGAATGAGAGAAGTATTCTATATCAGGGACTCATAATGTCTTTCTCGTGAGGAGACGATGGCTGATATCAAGGCCGTATTTATGGGGTTCATGGGGTTCAAACCCCCCCCCCCCCCAAATATCTTCCTTAAATTTTTGCCATACTGCTATTCGTCGGTGTAAACGGTGCAGTACTTGGTCTTTTCTATCTTTAATAGCTCATGACTTATTAAACATTGCAACTTGCAGGAAAATCCAGGTATGTCACAAAGACTTACAATGACAAATATAAAAAAAGTCATGGCGCATATAGTACATCCAAAAGTTTTTTTAGAGAGATGTCACTGAAGTATACAAGACTACCCATACATGAGGCAATAATTGCATTGAGGATTATCCCAATGTTCCCTGTCATCATATCGCAGCTTGGAAGAATGCAAAATTGCTGAATACGCCAGACCCCAACCCCCCCCCCCCCCCCGGAATGAAATCCTAGATACGGCCCTGGCTGATATATAAGAACGTATAAAACTGATCAAATAGCAATTTTGAGGGGTATCATATGATAAGTTTGATAGGTTTGATAAGTTGGCCATATGCAGAAACATTTTACGCCTATCATAATAGGTATCATGATGGGTATTTATGTCGAGCGCAGCTACTCTGGGATAAATTTAATCCCTTGGAGTTCTTTGTATCAAGCCACGGCAATTGGAATTCAAGCACTAGTCTGTTGAACGGGGTCAGATTAATATCATTGAATCATCACACAACACTGGTCAGTCATAGTGCGAGCAGATACCAATGGCGTAGTTCCTGGATTCAAGACGAAGGATAGGAGGGGTAGTCATCAGGAAGATTCACGTATACTTATCATGATAGGTATTTTATACTTATCGTAATAGGTATGAAGATACCTATTCAAATAGGCCTCATGATGGGTACTTATTAATTGTTCTTGCATACGAAACCTAGAAAATTATAGATCTATCGCCTGATACCTATCATGATAGCTGTCATGTAATAGGCTATCAAGTGATATGTTCTTGCATACGGATCGATATCGCGAAATGGGTTGTTGCTTCTGTCACCCTTCAGCTGTGAACTCGAAGGGGGAAAATGCAGGGGGGGGGGGGGGGGGGGGGGGAAGAAATGCACTTGGGCACGATGCCGGATTCCTTGTACCCCGCTTGCGTGCCCACTGCGATTCATTCAGGGATATTGCACGGGGAATGAAGTTCTGTCAGCGTGAGCTTCACCAGGTGTCTGTATTGGGCGAGCGAGG